CACACACACACACACACACTCGCACACACACACACACACACACACATATATATATATATATATATATATCTGTCATTCTTTGCATGCGCGATCGCATGTACCTTCACAGTGTTCAATACTTGTATTCACAATTTCTGAATGAGAAGTTATGTCATAATTGCTAATTGTTTGCTTCTTCTCTCACCTGCACCTGTTTTCAATATTCACAGCCTTCAAAGTCCGGGCTCTTGTCCACTGGCAGCGTGTCGATACCCTCATTGAACCAGCAACTTGACATCCCTTTACTTGGCTCTGATACTGGAGAAGCCAGTGCATCCACTACGGGTACAAATCTAAATATAGATACAGGTCGGGTACCTAGCACGGACCCTACTCTTCCAACGCAAAGCGGTACGTATACCGGTATGCCATCGCAGGAGTCTGCGCCTGCGGTTTCTAGTGATGCTATTGGTCAGGATTTAGAATCAGTTGATTCTATTGGACCAGCCAAAGAGGTGAGCCCAACTGGGGCAAATCTTACTAGTTTGTCACTGAGCCCCCACGCATCTGATGGGTCGCCTATGCACTGTGGACTGAGGAAGGACGTGCGTGTTGGAGATGCTGATAGTAGCACGGTAAGTTCAATCGCGAATATGCCACAATACACAAGCGCACAATCGGATATGAACACATCACACGGCACACATCCTGAAACACAAACATCAACGCATATGGCTATCGATGGAGATGGTAAGGACGTGTCTGAATCCAATCGATCATTAGGCGTTGGGAGCAGCGGTTCAGTACACGCGACTGCACCTGGGGCAGAGAAAAAGGGCTTGCATGGGCAGATTGACAACCTTGGAGCCACTCAGGTGCAGGCTAGGAATAGTACACTGAATGCAATGGTTTCTAAAGCAAATGATATGGAGCACACATCAAATGAAACTCAAGGCCCGCCTATACCGGCTGTACAGGACAATCAGGATAACTTAACGAAGCCTTCACTAGAGTACAGCTCCGATACAAAGGGCGACAACGCAGCTGAGACGACAGATGCAGGTATGGGTGACGTGAAGGGTGTGGCTAATGAGACGAGAATGTATTGTTTGCGTAACGATACGGAGGATAAACCTGGTTTAACACCAGGAAAGTCAGGAGGGGCGTCTGATTCAGCTACCGATACATCACGTGCTACGCTTACGAAAGTCGATACGGACGAGGATAATGCGGGCACTGACACTGGCGCGAAAGTGCCAAAGCTAAAATCACTAATTACAACTCAAGGTTCTCAACAAAACACTTCGGACGAAGTTGCGAGTTTAACCGTTTCACAGACGCTTGCTACACAAGCACCTACACATACGACACACGCGACAGATATCGGAACTGTGCAAGCGCAGAAGGACGTTGCACTTGCCGGGCAAGCGAAGGACAAAGCTGCTACAAGTACGGTTTCACATACGCATATAGATACACTGCCAGACAACGATGCACAGACGCAGCTACAGAGGGGAAGTGACCTCGAAATTGCGGGAGGTAAGAGTGAAAGTACCGAAACACTGGTACACGTACAGCCACAAGGGGACAACACAGTCAATGTATCTAGTGTAGGCGATAGTGGTGAACAAGGTGATGTCATGGCAACAACAACGGTAACGGCTGTGACCGATAGTGGTGGTGGATCAGAAGGTGTGAGCACAGATACAACCATCGCCAAAGGTCAGGTTACAGACCACCCCATAGACAACAGTGTTCTTGGCAAGTCTGAAGGTACAAACACCAACGCAAACGCGAATATGAGCTTTGAGCGGCTGTTGGGTGCTGACAAGATACAGGGTGGATCAGCTGAGCCTTTTGATGGTGAAATTGAGCGCCGCTTGGAAGGTGATACTGGTCTTGTAGGGAATCACAGTACTACGCCTGGAAGTTTCGCTGGTGTGGGCACACCAGCATCCGAACACATGGCTTTAGATAAGAAGGAACTACAACATGCTAAATCTCAAGTAACCTCAGATGTGCAACATCAAGGTTACTCACAGCTATCAAATATCGCAAAGCAACAAGCTGACATCCAGGCTATAGCTGGTATGCCATTGACCTCAACTGGTGTTGGGAATCATAGCGTACAAATTCAGGAGAAAGCCGCGAACAGTACTTCCTCTGTTGTGGGAGTTACACGGACAGAGGGCTCTGTGGTGAAAATGGAAGCTGAGCAATCGGACTATATGGAGCTGGGAGTGTCTAAACCCGGATCGATACCGGTACACAAGAGCAACACTGATGTGCGGGCAACAGGTGAGACCGTGAAAAGTGTTGAACATATGGGGTTGGATAATATTTCAGGGGAGAGTGGTGTGGACGTCAAAAAGCCGGTTGTCATGACAGCAGGAGTAGGGAGTAAGGGATTCGGTGAAAGTGCAGAATATGTTGTGAAGGCAGATAAGGAGGGTGCCAGAATTGGAGTGACAAGCACGCAATCTACGGTGAAGCAATTGGATCAGGGAGTACCACAGCAAGGACCCGACACACAAAAACTGGAGGACAACACGAACCAAACACACTCAGAACCTCACACAGGCAAACCAATACAACCACAAACAGCAGCAGAACCACAAGCCCCAATATCAACAGATGTTGTTGTGCCCAAGTCAGAGGCACAGCCTAGGCATGCGAAACCGCAAGGAGATGAGAAAGAACTTGAAACTGGTCAAACTAAGCCAGTACCACAACCAAATACAGTGCCACATACACAGATAAACATACGACACTCTACGACAGTACCAACGCAGACCGCGGTGCGCCAAGACACACAGCCACACGCACATACTTGGGCGGATGTTAAGCCGGAGACGCACACACCGTCCACCAGCGGTGTTGTGCCAGCATCAACAGAGAACAAAGCCCTAATAGTTCAACAAAAACAACAACAACAACAACAACAACAACAACAGACACACACTACAGATGCCACGCCAGCAACTACCTCTGAGATCAAAGTAGAGGGTGCGGTAGCTGCTACACTGAAGAGTACCGATGTGAAGGCCCCTATTAAGACTCATGTGAATAATGATTTGGAGCTGGGAGTGGTGGGGGTGCGGCAGTTGTTCGATACCATGAATGCCATGCAGAGAAAGTAAGTTTTAGGTTTCTAGGGTTTTAAGCGAACGCAAGTTCCGCTACTGAACCAACGGGCCTTTGTGAGCGGGTGTGAGACGAATGATCCCTGGTCGTGTGCGACTGTTCGCAGTTCTTGCGATATGTTATTGTATGTGCGAGATTGAGACTCTGACCTCCGCACATTATGTCGGTACAATTGAAATTTAGCTGTCTGTGAATTCACTTGTACTCGGCGGTTGTATGTGTTGCATCTATGTACTGAGCCGAATATGTGAGTTCTGTGTGCTCAGCGCATACACTGCACTTTTGCACAACACAGAGACACACACCGATGCCCGTGCTATGATATGAGTTCTGAAGTGTGAAGTATCGCGTTGGGCGAATAGTTTATAATTGAATACCCCTTCTCCGTCTGTTTACGTATATTTCTAGTACTAAGTGGTGGTGTTTCATGTATTGTACGGCCTAGAATACACCTGCGACGAATTGGGCATACTGTATCTGCCATTTTTTGGCATCTGACACATGACATTGAACACTTGACATCTGACAGGGGTCTGGATCAGAGCCAGCCCGAGGCATATACAGTGCTACTGCGGCTACTGCGAGATCGGTTATCGCACAGTTTTGACACCTCCAACACTGAATGGACACCCACCATCAATTGGGAGCACGTGCGCAACTACCAGTCGGCTGTGGCCAAGGTCAAGATGGACCAGGTAGGACTATGCATCTTTGTTTATCTGCTTGTTATAAAGTGGTATTGTATGCACCTGCGGGCGTATGATTAGAAAAAGCTGTAAATAATTGTTAAGTATATATTTACATATCTGAACTGCAATTCGTTTTATGCAAACCTGATGTATATCTGAGAGTTTTATGTCTCATGTTCGCAAATAGCGAGGCGTAGTCCATGTCGAGATTGTTAGCATGCGTAAGATTAGCGATTTCAATATCTCAGCTCTAGAAATGTTCCCGCCCTCCATGCCAAAATTTGGAACCAGAATACAAGCGAATGTGCAATGATATTGTCAGCCCTAGACTTTGTGGTCGGATATATGTGTATACATACAGCAGATACAAAAAACTGCGAACAAATTTATCCTTCACACACGTCTAAATATGCATTTTATCTACTACAGCGGGCGCCGGATTTGAAGGAGAAACAGTCACGTACCAGTCAACTCTGCGAAGCCTATAAGTGTGCACAAGGTGATACAGACATCCCAGCTGAACTTCTGCTGCAAGTTGAAGGTGAGTCATACGTATACTATTCATATTATCAGTAAGTTTTATAATCGCTTACTGTAGATATGCTGACACTACACGTACTCGCATTTGTATAGGTTCTCACACTTCGTTAGCCACACATGCCGATCCATCGGAGCCATCGGATGTCTCTGCTCGTCATGCTTAGCTGCTACAGTGATACTGTTTAATCTAGCCCACGCGTGTCTTCGTGGCAGATTGTGCTGTTGATCCGCCTTGTTGTGTCATTTTCGTTCCCTTTCTATCATCCACCGCCTGTCGTGTGTAGTAGCCTAATCCCATCCGCCCAATTTCGCGAGGTACACCATCGTTGCAGGCGTGTATCTGAAACTTGAGTCGACAGTTGTCCCGGTATACATGAATGGACCTGTCTTTTTATATTGTAGCTTATGTTTAATTGCCTTTGCTATCTGCTTGTGTTCTCAGGTGTGAATTAAGAATCAATTTACTTTTCCTTTATCGCTTCATCTTTCCAGGTGTGAATCCTGGAGCGAGTGGCATGGGCATGGCGAACGGCAATGACCTCTCCCTGCAGCATCGGCATCCGACAATACCCACACTGGTGAACAGTGGATGGCTAGATAAGGTAGGCTTTCATGCGCAAAGGTGTACCACAGACACAACACTTGTTGTACTAGAAATATAAGGGTCAGATACAGTTGGAAATGGCAATTGTGGCACCCCTTAGTGGCGCGTACTAAAATACTACACATCAGTTATTGAACAGCATTCACTGGTCAATGAATACCATATGAGTAAAGTAGACACTACAAATAGTCATGCAAAGTGATAACTGATTTGATATCAATTGACATGTGTCTCCTCGCAATTACAGCTGGTGGGGCCTAGCGAGTACTCCAAGGCTGGGAGATTGGCCCAGACACAGACGGGAACGGTATGCTCAACTTATTTTCCATAGCATGTGTATGGAGGTGCATCGTTTCGCACTACTCCGAGTATAATCATAGATACTAGTATATAACTGATCATCTGCCCTCAATTCATTATATTTTTATAGTCTCATAGTGTTTATCTGTCTGCTATCTACGATCACATACACCTGAGAATACATAAAATGGATACGTCTGTATGTATTGATGTACATACATCGGCCTTTATATAGAAATATCGAGTATATATGAGGGCAAGTGATATACATATATTCTTTGTAAATCCAATTCATCTGATTTGAGACTGTTACTTTCTGTCAAACATCAATACATGGCTCTGAAATATTTGGCCTTGTGTGCAACGTAGTCTCGTCTTTGACCCAAGTAGTAGTTATTCATGACATACTCTTATTTGAGGATGTGTCATTCGCAATGCATATGATCCATTCATCGAGTTCTGCTCCAGGCAACTTATTAGTTGTTTGCTCATTCAAAACCATCCCACAGCTTCAGACCGAGAACGGCTCGCGCTCAACAACCCCCGTATTGCCCACGCCGCCGGTACTGACGCCTGTTGAACTACAGAAGCACCACATAAAACGAAGGGAAATCAAGCACAACACACCCAAGTTCCCTATTTCCACCGAGACACTCCGGAAGGAGTGGCTATATGTTGTCAACACGCGTATAGAGGTGTGTGCTTTGTGGATACCCACAATCATTGGTATGAGACGTTTATGTGCAGATGCGAATACGTATATATGCACAGAAATGTATGCTTTGTGGACACCTACAATCATTCGAGTAGCTGGTGTATGGACATATGGGGACATGTCTATTACAGGACGATCTATCTGCTGTGTCGTGTGCGTTTATGTCGCTCTAGACTTTGAGAATCTATATGTTTCTAAGAATCACAGTGTTTTGAAATATCGTGGTCGCCATTAAGTGCTTTTGTAATAGCACGCGATTGAAACAATTATAAATACATGATGCGTGCACGGAGATTATATACTCATGTATTAAATTTTAACTGAAGAGACAGGAATAGAATTGTACGTAATCTAGGCTCCGAGCGACGAGTAGGTGCCATATTGTTGTATTTGAGTTGAGTTCCCAAGATATCTCAGGATACCATGAGATGGGCGTACTTTTGATTGTACCGTGCACAAACGAAGTACATCGTTACTGATAAGTATCTTTCCCCATTTTTCACTGTAGCAAACAATGCAGAACATTGGAGTAGAGCCGTACGATTTCCCAACACTGAAAGATGAGCTAACTATGGCGGAAATTGCTAACATCTCACAAGAAAGCAAGGACAAAATCGGCCCTTTTGCCAGGGCATTGAGTCGGAAACCGACTGTTCTACCTACAGCGTAAGTTATCGGTTTGATG